TCTATCCGTCAATCGGTTCTACATGTTGTTGTGCAAATTGAATAGACAAAATGTGGAAATTATTAGTAATTAGCAAGACATACTCAACAAAGGATTGGTTCTGTAGGTGGGGACCACAGTCCACTTTTCAGTACCTCTGCTTTCTGGCTGATGCTTTGGTCACTTTTGAATGTTGGTGGTGCTTTCAAACTCGTGGTAGATTGAGACAGACTTGACAATCCACAGAAGTGGCTCAGGTACTGCAGCTCATCCATTAGGCACATCAATGTGAACTGTGGCAAAAAGGTTTGCTGTTGTTGTCAGCATAGCGTCCAGAGGCTGGAGGCACTACTAGGAGACAGGCCAGTTCACCATGAGACTTGGTGTAGGCTGTAGGAGGGCAGCAACCCAGCAGCAGGACCACTACATCCTCTTTTGTGTAAGAGTTTCAGGAGGAGCACCACCAGGGCCCTGCAAATTACCTGAAGCTGGCAGCAAATCTGTTTGTGTCTGCATAAATGTTTAGAAACAGACTCCATGAGGATGGTATAAGGGCCTGACGTGCACAGATGGGGGTTGTGCTCACAGCCCAACACTGTGCAGGACAGTTTACCAGAGAACACCAGAATTGGCAAATTTGCCACTTGAGCCCTGTGCTCTTTACAGATGAAAGCAGGTTCACACTGACCACATGTTCTATTTTATTTTATTATCTAATTAATGTGAAGCATTGAGTTGTCCATGAACTGTATTGTGCAAAACAAATAAACCTGCCTTACCTGGCCATATGACAGCTGTGACAGTCTGGAGATACAGTCAAGAGCAATCTGTTGCCTGTAATATCCTTTGGCATGATCGGTTTGGCAGTGAGTCAGTTATGGTGTGGGATGGCATACATTTGGAGGGTAGCACAGCCCTTCATTTTCTCGTCAGAGGTAGCATGACTGCCATTAGGTACCGAGATGAGATCCTCCAACCCCTTGTTAGACTATATGATGGTGTGGTTGGCCCTGGGTCCCTCACAATACAGGATAACCCTAGACCTCATGAGGTTAGAATGTGTCAGTAGTTCCTGCACCATGACGGCATTGAAACTATGGCAGGCCCGCCCCTTCCTCAGACCTGAATAGGAATGAGAAGATCATGTCTTTATCCATCTATCAGCATCACATTGCACCACAGACTGTGCAGGAGTTGGTGGATCCTTTAGTCCAGGTCTGGGAGGAGATCTCTCAGGAGATCATCCATCACCTCATCAGGAGCATGCTCAGGCTTCGTAGGTCGGTCATACACAGAATACTGAGCCTCATTTTAACCTGTTTTAAGGACATTACGTTGGATCAGCCTGTAGTGTGTTTTTACACTTCAAGTTTGACTCCAAATCCAGGCCCCATTGGTTAATAAATTGGATTTTCATTAATTACTTTTGTGTGATTTTGTTGTCAGCACATTCAACACTACACAAAACAAAGTATTAAATGAGAATATTTATTTAGTTCAGATCTAGGATGTGTTATTTCAATGTTCCATTTGTTTTTTTAAACAGTGTATAATTTATTTACAGAACAAATGATCCCCTCATTTGATTGATCATTGTTTAGACCTTCACAAAAAACAGTTTGCAAACTAAATGCTAAATGTAATGTTTTAATACTTAAAACTTGAATCTATCTGTTGTTTTTAATGTTTTCAAGAACAGCTCAATTCTCTTTCAGGTGACTACACCTGTCCCATGCCTCTGTCCATGGTGCTGATCTTATTAGTTTCTACCTGCTTGACCCAAAAAAGGTTAAGAAACAGATGTTTTATAAGCATGGTCTCACTCTTATCTGAAGCATTCTCAGGAAAAGATCAGATACCACAGGAGATTCAACCAACATTTTTTTTTGACAGATTGATGAGCTTGCCCCTCAAATTGAAATGGAAAGTAAAAATAAAGTTCTAATCTTGCACATAAATGTGTCGTTTTAAGTGAATTTATTCAGTGAAACAGGCATATAACCATGTAGGTTTTATAACCGTTAGAAATGGCTTTGTACTGGATTATTCCACTTTAAGGAGTCTTAATCTAACTCATGTAATGTTATCCTTTACTTAAAGTGATCACCTGTACCACTGCCAATGTTAAATATGCATTGTGCAAAGTGGCTGTTATTATCTTACAGTTCTTCAAATTTCCTTAGGCAACAACAAGAAGGGTGAGATTGCTATGTTGTCCCAGCAGGAGATCCTGATAAAGTAGTATAATATGACATCAGAAATAGGCTAAAATGAGTGATAGTGTAGTATGACATCACTAATAGGCTAAAAAGAGTCATAGTATAGTATGCCGTCAGAAATAGGCTAAAATGAGTCATAGTATTGTATGACGTCAGAAATAGGCTAAAATGAGTCATAGTATAGTATGATGCTTCTAATCTGCTTCTGAATCTGCTATGTTGCA